CAACAATAAATTCGCGCATAGCGAATGCGTTTAATAAATAAATATAGAGGAAATATATATATCGCCGCGTATGTGTCAGCGTGCTTAATTGGCATTCCACCCCCCGTACGGAGCATGAGGGATATATTCGAGCCACACACATAATCTGATAAAATTCTGACAGACGAAACAAGTGCAAGCTCGAGATATATAGTATATATATACGTTAACAAATGGACGAGGCGGAGAGAGGAAGAGTAAATGAAATCTGAATCGTGCGCCTTATTCTAGTCGCGGAGAGACGCGCGTTTAAAGTTTGCTGCCAGAGAGCTAAAACTATAAATTTAATTATTTATAATGTCCGCGAGCGCTGATAAGTGAATTTGAATATGAAATTAACGCGCATATATCTTGGGTCTTTCTCGCTCGTCAAATCGTCGAGAAGTTTTTTATTTTTAAAAGAAAAAGATAGAGAATCTTTCTCTCTAGGAAATTAGTGCATTCTCGTGCGCTACTCCCTCGTGAGAATCCTCTCCCTTTTTCCTTCTTTCTCGCATATATACATTCTCTCTCTCTCTTTCTCTCTCACTGTGTTAAAGCTCGTGAGTTTTCGTTTTTTCAAACTGCTTTACCTGGTGCTTCACACAGTTGATAATCTCCTCCCGCTTTAATTAATCCACTTGTGCGAAATAATGATAATATCTTTATTGAGCAGAACAAGATGGTACATGGCATTGGAGAAAGAGAGTAAATTAGAAAATTATACGGGTAAAAGTGAGTTCTCTCTAATTATCAACTGGTTTACGTTTGCAATTCTCCATTACGCTTTATACGAAAACAGGTAAATATGAAACTTCGCCGCATTAATATTTATATTAACAATAAGGTAAATAACTTCTCTCTGAAGCCCAGCATCACATTTCATGGTAGAATACGAATTTAGTATTGATGCAAACAGACGCTTTGTATTCATCGAATATCATTAGCAGCGAGTACATCATGTTCCTGCCCCACGGTTATGTAACACATGCATATTTAACAAGTGAGAAATAACTTGGCGTAACAAACACGTTTCGTTCAAACAACGCGTTTTAATTTCTTTCTTTTTTTTTTTTGTTTTTTTTTTTATTATTTTTTTATTCATACTTTTCGCCGAGCGTGTTTTTGAAAAAAAAAAAAAAATACTTGTTCGTGTAAACAATTCCACTTTAATTGCACACACATTTGTAATGCGAAAATACAAAAAATAATTGAAATAACGTGTTTTGTTAATTCAATTAAAAAAAAAAAAAATAAAATAAAAGTCACGAAGAACAACTGCAAAACTCTGAATTGCACTGATTCTCGATGCGCTGTACGGGTGAATTATTATTATCGTCACGCGTTTTCATAGTTGGCAACTATATGGCACTTGCGTGTTCGCATTTGATGTAAGTGCGCGCGTGTACGAAAAGCGGTCGACCCCTCTTCCTCTTCCTCCCTTCCTCCCGAGGCAAAACCGAATGGGCCGCGAAATTCCGAGCTAACAATCGATCTCTCTAGAGAGCAAGACTGACAGCACGTCACTCCGGTAAGTAGGAGAACAACAATTTCTGAGTATTGTTCTCCCCGTCGAGAATTCGTGACGTCTCGCACGGAAAACGCGAGAAGAGAATTAATAATAACGCTACGCAAAAGATAAACGGTGGTAAAACCCCCTTTTTTTTGTTTTTTTATTATTTTAGGACGCGCGCTTCAACAATTTTTTTTTTTTTTCGCGCACAATAACGAAGCCTGGAAATTTACACCGCGTGGTGTAAATCGTGATGTTAATTATCTCATATATTAAATACCGAAAAATGATTATTTTAGCAAACGACGCTTTGCGCAATAATTCGAATTCCTGAATAACATTAAATTTATATATCGATTCCGTAAATAAATATATATATAAAAAATGTGGAGTTTGCGCGTACAAGCATTTGTACTCACGATATCACATATTTTATGTGTTGCTCTCATTTATACCCTCGTCCTCGTCGTCGTCGTCGTCGTCGTCGTCTCGGCAACGTGTACCAGAACATTTTATCTTAAGCGTCCTGAATGTAAGTTACGCCCCCAGAAAGAAACGTAACAGGTACAGGATACTCAAACGCTTACATCGTTTCTCATACAAAGCAATATGGTGGTTGGTTTGTTCGTACTTTCATCCCGTCTTTCTCCAGACATCTTGGCTTGTGTGTGTCTTGCAGTTCTCTCTTTCTCTCTCTCTCTTATCGTTCCTCTTCATTTATCAACGGTGGCAGCATCGGAGCTGCGCGCCACATACGGCGGATTGAATGAACGAATTAAACTTTCATTGCACCAATGCGGTCCGCGCGCGTGAAGGACACAACGTTTCGTCCTTACGTTCTCCCGTGGTCTATTTCTCTTACTTCTGTGTCTTATTGTCTTGATTCGCACTCGCCTCCGTTTCCGGTATACTGCTCTCTCTCTCTCTCTCTCTGTTCGTGTTCTTTCTCTCTTGTTATTGCTTGCACCGCACGCGCTCTCTCTCATCTATCGCGAGTCCCACTTCGTCGTTTCAGCGTTTTCTCGCGTTTTTTTTTTTTTTTTATTCTCCGTGAGGCACTTCGACATCATGCCCACGTAAAATTGCCCATTTCACGAGGTTGCAGAAACCTGTTAGAAGAAAGAAGACGGGACAAAAGATTGACTTGCTCTACCGCTTCTGTTTGTATTTTGGTTGGCTACAAATATTTATCGGACGAGGGTGTGTCTAGCGCTCCAACAACCATCGATTATATTGTATATTGTATATATTTACACAACTGTCAGTGTGCGCGAGAGATATCTATAAATGTTTGCGTATCTAGATTTTTTTTTTTTTTTTTTTTAGGGTGTCTGAACAATTTAGAAACGGCCGAAGTGCGAAGACAGACAAGGTCAAGTTTAATAGAAAAATTGTTTATCATTTTTTTTGCACGATATTTATTGATTTGTTTATTGAGTTATTAATAAATTAATGTGAGTGTGCGGAAAGCAATGATTCTGAACTCTGTAAGCCTGATGAATGATTTTCAGTTTAGCAACGTCCTGAAAAAAAATCAAAGAAGCTGTGCAACATCATCGCTCCGCCTCTTGTTGCCAGGAGATTGCATGAGATCAGCTATTTTTCTTTAATTGAAAATTATACCGCTTTCCTTAAAGCTAAAATATCCTATCTAGCATATCGGAATATAATCGAAAAAGTTGAAGTTTTATTCTTTGGTTTGTGCCATCAGCAGTTGGAACAACTAAGTTAGACACTTTCTAAACGTCTTTGAAGTCTTTAGGACTTTCGTTTAGAAAGACGAAACATGCGTAGAACTTCCTGATGTTTCAATATATCTCGAAAAATGCAAAACTGCGTGATAGAACATTTTATCTAAGAACACGGCGGTATACACGCTCACGGAATCATCGCTTCCCACGCGCTCATCGCGCATTAATTAATTAATAACTCAACGAATATTGTAAATTCAGATTGACCTAATCTATCTTCGGCTGTGTGTGTCACAATTTTTCAGACACACTGTATAACTGAGTGTAAAATTGTGTGCTACATTGTATATACTTGTTATATAAAGATAATTTTTGGGGATATGTACATTGTTGCAAATTCTAAACGCACGATTTTAACGATTCGCGTAAAATAAACATTGCGCAAACAAAGTTACATTGTTATCGATTACGACTGTATAATGTCATCATATCAAAAAACATAGTTGTATAAAAAATCTAATATAAATTTTCAGAATAGTGAAATTATATTACGCGACTCAGCAAAAAAAAGAAAAAAAAAAAGAAAATGTGTTGAAAACGAGCATGATTAATTGCTCTTCTTTTTATCGTGCAATTTCCGCTCTCTCGACGACGACTCTAAATTCCAACTTGTAACACTTTCTGCGTTTCCACTTTTCCAGACGACAACGTGTAACGAGGCGTGAGATATTAAGATATCGGACCATCCGAAAGTCCCATTTCGCCTGGTAGAGATTCCCGATTCCGGCTATTGTGGCTCTACGAGCACGATTTCGGTGGATATAAGACGTTTGGCGCGGTCGATGCGGTCTTGATGGCGTCGTTGAAAGCTCGAGGAGGAAGCTCCGCCGTGGAAAATGCTCGAAATCATTTCCGATTTTTGAAAGTGATATCAATAAAGTATTCCATCTCTCATATGTGTGTGTTATTCGTCACCCCTTTCTTTCCTCGCGTTTACGTCTCGTCAAGTTTTTTTGTTCCAACTTCTTTTTTTATCGCCTATTGTTATACCGTATTCTCAATTTATGTAAAAATAAATAGATCCCGGACAACAATCGGATATTTTTTATTTCAACGCAACTGTACACTGTTCATACAAAATATTATCTGATGCAATAAAATGTTTTTTTTTGTCTCAAAAATGTCTTATCTTAGTAATGCATATTTTAATTGTGTAAAAATATATTTTATCTTTTCCTTTTATCTGTAAAACAATATTTAAAATATTTCAATTCAAGTTTGCGCGCAACATGTATATCGCATTGAATCCGCAAAGGGTTAAATAAATTTTCGCGAACGCGAGCGGAAGATATTCTCCGAGGGAAGCCTCGGGGAGAGACACAAGGACGTTCGTTTCTCGCACAAAACTTGACCCTTTTGTTTTGCGAATACCCCTAATTTGCCACGGCAACATCTTTATCGCGCCACAAAGATCTGCAAAACAATCATCATCTCGCGGCAAACGCGGGGGGGAAGTAACGCAACTCACCCTCTGGCTCCTGTATATTGCCTCTGTGTTTTCAGATTCCGTCGCGATCCTCCGCGGATCTGTCCCTCTCTTTTTCTCCATCCACTCTTCGTCGTTATTCCCCGTCGTTATCCCCACTATCTCTTTCTCTCTCTCTCTCTCCGTTTCTCTCCGTTCGTACTGGCGTCGCGACGGAGGACGGACGGACGGCCGTACCGAACGAGGAGGACCAGCGCAGCAGACTGGGAGAACGTCAGAGTGGCCTCCGACTTCGTCGCGTGCACATCCCTCTCTCTGCGCGCCCGATCACAGCTGATCACATCTCGCGGCGAGGAATCTCGTGCGTTCACATGATTATACCGCGCCGAATCGCGCTCGGTATCAAAAAACGTATTTATCGCGTGTGACGCGTCCGTCCGCTTCGTGAATACGCAATTGTGACTGTGGTGGCTGGCCTCATCGTCATCTCTCTACGAGAAAGCTCTCCTCTCGCGCGCGCATTCAGCGGAGAGCGAAACGGAAATTGAAAACGACGCTGCAATCTCTGGATCGGGAGAAACTGAACTTCATTTCGCGCGGAATTGCGGAGAGAGAGAGAGAGAGAGAGCTCGTCCTCAGAAGGAGAGACGCGCGAGAGTCTCCTCTCTCTATTTATCTGTCTATCTCTCTCTCTCTTCTCGGGAGAGTTCCTCGATTATATTACCCACGGAATTTCTGGCTCTCGGGAATTATCTCCCCGAGAACCCTCCGTCGACGGGGAAACATCCGGTTTAATTATTGAAGATTTCACTATTGCGGGTCGCCGGGAGAGAAAATACTCTCTTTTCGCGCGTCTTTCATTCTTCTTTTCAAGAAGAAAATCCCGTTTCGTCCTTCTCCTTTGGGAAGAGCAACTCTGGTTTCGTGCTATTAATGAGACGCGACTTGTTTCGCACCGCGCCTGAATTCGACAGCGCGCCGATCGATAAATTCCCCGATCTAGGGATGGACATCTGGAAGAAGCGACGTTCGTAAAGATATTATATCCCGTGTGTGGTTGGCGCCTCCTCGCTCATCGCCTCCCGCGACCGGACGGTAAAAAATCCGCGGGAAAAAAATCCGAAGGAGAGAGAGACGTCGTAGTTTTTTTTGTTTTTTTCGACCGCGACCGAGCGCCGGAAAAACGTGGGCGATCGACGACGAGCACGATGCGCTGAAGAAGAAAAACATCGATCATCGCCAAGGCCGAAAGTGGATGCACACGCTCGACGTTCAATTAAATCCGTTTCAACATCGGAAAAAAAGACGAGAGAGAACGGAAGCAGAAATAGCAACGGTGACGCGAAATAAGCGATCGCGAATCGGACAGATCGGAGTCGCGCGACTCGATTGAGTTTGGAGATATTGCGAGCGCAGGCGACAAATTTTGCGATGTTGACGCGGAGTGTTTTATTGTTTCAATAAAAAAATATTCAGATGTAACGTATATCTGTGAGAGAAAGAAAGAAAGAAAGAGAGAGAGAGAGAGAGAAAAAAAAAAGGTCCGAAAACGTGGATTGGAACGTCACCGTGAAGGAAGCGACGTTGTTCGTGGGACGTATAAAAAAGTGACGTAATATATTCGTAGAAATTATTTCGGAGGCGTAACGAAGCAGAATTGATGATAAGAGTGATAAGATCGTCTCTCTTTAGGATATAACTGGCAACTTCGTGCGGAAAATTAACGTTGTACGGGACGGCGAGAAAGCACAAAAGCGGAAATTTCGACGTCCGCGCGGCGGGAGCTCCCGCTATATTAATTGCCCGTCGTAATTGGGGTTTCTAAGGATCGCGCTTAATTAGTTCGACGTTCTAACGTGAACGATGAAGTGGTGCGTGCTGGTGTTGGTATTTGCCGGTCTGAGCAGGGGCGATAATACCGTCAATACGAAGATCTCCAACTGCCCGGAACTCAACTCTCAAGACGAGATAGATCTCGACAAGGTACGTGCGCGGCTACTATCAGGCGCTCGCCTCCATCGGTCGACTCCACAAATATATATATATATATAGTAATACACGTAGAAATATCCACGATGTTTCGATTCGCTTGTAATCAAATGTCTTTGAGAAAAGAGTACAAACGCTCTTGCTATTTTTACTTCTCATCCTGTTTTTTTTTTTTTTTTTAATACAGTCCTTTTATTTCGCAACATTTTCTATAAATAAGAGATATTATAAAAGAGATTTTATTTTTAAATTAGTTTTTTATATTGACCACGTAGTATGGAAATTATAATATGTATGCGCGCGGCTTTTTTCATATCGCATTAATTACATATGTGTAAGTTTGCATTTACATATGTATATATGTATATATATATAGTATATAAAGTTTCGATTTTTTTGCGAAAAGCATCTGTTGAAGATATTGGTTTACGGATTTATAAAAATACGTGCTCTTAAAAACTGAAAGACAACAATCGCAAAAACGACTCGTACTGTCTCCGACATATCTATAGTTGTTGCAGACGTATGTAAGATGTTTTGAATAAAATGTCTCGCGCAACGGGAGAGAGAGAGAGAGAGAGACAGAGATAATATATCAGGCTTTTAATATGTTCTCCGTCACGAGCATTACTCGTGATGTTCGCCAATAATTCACTAGTGCGTCATAAGCATCACTCGGTAGTTCTCTCTGCTCCGGGTATGCATTTGCCTTAATATAACTTTCGGCGTTTTCGCGCTCTCCGAGGAAGAAAAATGCTCGTAATCATCGCGAACGGGCATAATTATGGGCTATTGCGATACTCGCCGCGCCGTTGTTGGCGCCGCAACCGATGTACCTAACATTTGTTAACATAATTAATATTTCATGCTAATGAATTATTTCATTCAATATTTCTTCTCCCTTTCCCCTCCTCCCTCATCCCGAAATATAATTCATCAATATTACATCGTCAGCCCAATTTCATCTCTGTTAGCTTCGCTTACATTTTGTTTGGCAAATAAACCCGCGCGTTCGATTTGTTTAAAATATTCGCGAACATTAATATTGTTTGCGCAAGAAACGCGACTTATTGAAAAAATCTATACACGCAAGAGTTTACGAAAATAAATTTGTTTTTTTTTGTTTTTGTTTTTTTTCTAATCATTGCGTCCGGTAAAAATACCCCAAAAAACTCGTGTCAAAACGTGAAAATTATCGATTGTTTTTATTCATAAGTCATATCCGTCAGATGAGTTAATCGTTGCCGTTTAAAAAGTTTAAATTTCGAAACGGTTTTCCTCGCCGAAAAATGCATTATTCATACGCGCCGGGTATCGATTTTCAAAAAATTATATTCACCAAGCTTTATCCCGGTGTGAAATAATGACTTTAATAAAACACAACGCGCTACATAATGAGAAAGAAAAGTATCGAAGCTTTGCTTCGGAACATAAAATTTTCATTTCAATTTCAATTTCCATTTCGATCGTTTTCCTAATCCAACAACGTACCTACATATGTATATAAACAAAATAACAAAAAAAAAAAAAACAAAAATAAATAAAAAAAAAACAAAAAAACGTTCTGGAAGAACGGGAAAATGTTGGTACATCGGTTAGTTTCTATATCGCTTAAATGTATGCAATAATACGAATACATTATACGCTTCACCCTGTGTACATGCGTGTACACGTATACGTTCGCAACATGATGGCACACACACACGTCCATTGATTAAACGGGGGTTTAACAGCGCTGTGTGTCACGGCCTCAAAAAGCAGGTCAGCCGCGCTTCTTCTTTTCTTTGCCAAAAAACCGCCAAAAAATATATTTCACCGGTTAATGGACATATGCAAATTGGCACTTCAGTACATGAAATGCCACTTTCGGATTTGCGTCGCGCAAAAAACATCGCTTCATAAGCGATTAAATGGAGAAAAATGCAAATTTCGACGTCACCAACAGAGAGAGAGAGTCACCCCTCCCGATATTTCCGAGTCTTAATGGACGCGAGAAGATTTTTTTTCTTTTTTTTTTCTTCTTGTTTTTTTTTTTTTTTTTTGTTTTCAGCCCTCCCCCGGTTTCTTTTTCTTCGTTTTTTGTTTCGCAAACGTAGCTCCGTGTGCAACTGTCACAATTGGATCTACAGTTGTTAAGGGCGAGAACCGTGTAATGGTTCGCAGCCGGGCGAAGCCTAAAGTATCGTTAATTCAAAACAATTACGAGTTCCTGGCACGCTGCCTCTACGAAGTTGTCGAGCCGCTTGCCGGCTTATATAGTTACATACGGAGTGCATTAAGTGCTGGTCATAATTTAAACGGCCGCGTCCAAGACTTGTAATTTCAATCCCACGAGGTTGAGCTATGCGCGCATAATTAACGGACTACTTTTTTCCGGTGCGCTGTATAACGTTGCATCATGTAACAGCGTGTCGAAGCGTAACGGAAGTGACGTGAAAAATTGCTGAATTTGCGACGAGAGTGTGTAAATGAAAAAAAAAAAAATAAAAAAATAAAAAAAAATCAAATCAAATTCAAAAAGTCATATAGAAGTCAAATAGTCGAATTCAAGTACGCTCGAATTTCGTGATTACGTGCCACTTTAACATACGTTTAAACGTTTTCGCGTAGACGAGCAGTTGATGTATACAGTTGTACACAGATCCAGACCAATCAATACTTATTTGGCACACGATGTGTGAAGTTATCAAAGTCACACTGAAGGCTCGAAGCCTCACGCGGGGTGCATTAAGTGGTCGTTATGAATTAAATCGTCGTGTTCAAGACCCGTTATTTCAATGGAAACAAGGTTACCCGTAGGCCAACACGCCTAAGTGCTATATTTGCTAAGTATGCAACGCATTAGCGAACGATCGATAATCTTGAAGCCGTCATTAAGCTCCGACCAAGAAATTGTATTACGGCGTTAAAAAATCTTTGAGTGCTTTGAGAAAAATCATTAATCTTGAGGTCAAAAAGTTTGAAAGGAGAAAACTCTATTTTCTCATTTAACATTCAAATTTAATGAATTAGAACTTCATTTCAAGATGCTCTCTCTATGGGGGGAAGGGGGACTCGGCGGTTGCTGAAAATTCTTGGAAATTTCGAAAACTTGAGATGAAGTAGAGACAAATGTTTAATTAATTATTCTTCATCTCCGGACCTTAAATTTGTCAACAATAAAAACAAATCTCACATCGGTAGATTTAAGAAGTTTTTTTGCAAATGTTTAATGTAAATCCGTAACAATGAGCGAACAAAAGTATTGCGAGCATTTGAGAAAAACAAAAAAAATTCTTTTTTCTCGTTTCGACAAATTATTATTATTTGTTGCGCGCTTCCGTGTACACGGGAACAAAATTACAACGGGTTTGTTGATGTCGGGTAACGCGAATTTGCGTTGTCAGTTTTCAAGTAAACGCGCGCGTATGTACTTCTCTTGAATGCCCATCACTTTATTCTTTATTCTATTCCTTTGAAGTACAAAATTTCGGAAATCAAAGACTCGCGCAAAAAAGACTCTGTGTGTGATTCTTCCTTTGAAGAAAACGGAACTCGCGTAACAAAATTTTCCTCCGCGTATTTCATAAACTATGTCGTTCCTACGTTCTCAATGCTGCCGAGTTAGCGTTTGAAAGACCACCTCTCTCTTTCCACTGTGAGTTTTTTTTTTTTTTTCCCCATATCTTCCTCGCGAAAACTGGACTTACGCTACATTATTATCAAAGCTTCTATGTGAACGTACGTTGTGAGCTCTCTTCTCTGACGTTTCTCTTTTCGTCGTCGTTCAATAGGGCTTCCATGAATTGCGTTCTACGGCCGCAGCAATGAGTCCAGTCCCGAAGAAAGCCCCCGAGCTTGTCTACGATCTATGGAAGTGAAATATGTAGACGAAAATAATATCCGTATCTAGAAAGCAAAAACACAGAGCGAGCTAGGATACGTATATTTTTTTCTGGAAAGAGATTACAATACGCTTTGTGTGAATATCCACACACACACACACACACACACACGTGTATATCTATATATGTATTTCAATCTCTGCGTTGGCTTTTTTATACGTGGGAAAAAATCACTAGAGCTAGAATTAAGAACACAGCAATAAGAAAGTCGATCTCAGAATCCGCTTGGAATCTCTGCTTTTCATTTTTATTCGCACTTTACACAATTCATCAGTTTTACGTTTTATTTACGTTTTGTTATTCTTAATTCACAATTTTTTTTTTTTTACAACATTTATTAATTCCGCGAAAAAAAAATACCAAGTTTGATCGCGCGCGTCTGTTGAATGGTTTTTTTTTTTTTTTTTTTTTTAATGAATCATTTGTTATTAGACTTTTTCAAAGAACGCTTAATGAGTTTTTCCTTCGCCGCGAGGATTAACTATTTTTCTATAAAAAGAGACATTTTTTCAGACACGAGTTTGCGTTTCAGCGGACTCTGGAAATAAAGTGTTCTGTAAATGGTTTGCCTGTCAGATGTGTTGAGGGCGAACGCGCGAACTGCAAACTGCATCTGCGGCGCTTTCATTTGCAACCACGTCGTAACGTGGCGCGGCGCGAAATCGCAGCCACGTCGTCGTTGTCGTCAGTAGCGGCGGAGGGTAGGTAGGCGTTATCTTGCTTGTTTAAAAAAAAAAAAAAAAAAGCAAACTTACCTCCGTGCTTTCCGTTGAAAAGGCTTTCGGTGTAAGTTTTCGTGGCGGACAATAAACCACGACCATTTCTCATTGTGCCGTTGCACAACGGCATTGAGGCCGAGGGGGTATTCAACGACGACATCAAAATTTATTCCCGGAATTATTCCTTAAACTTTTCGCACCGGTAATTTGCATCGTTTGGAATTTATCGTACCAAAGTAGCAGGTGTTTTGCGTTTAAACGTAGCAAAATTGAGGAGATATTATTACCGGGGGATGCGATGAGAGAGATGTGCGCAATTTAAAAAAAAAAAAAAAAACACAAAAGATATAGCTTCAACTCTTAAATTAAAATTCCAAGTTTAATTCCCGTG